GTGTGCTCCGACTTCTGCTTCCACATCGGCCCCCATGCCAGTTTTTAGCTGTGTGTGTAATGCCACACTGCTCTAATGAAAGCACCTTTGCTCCAGAAAAGCCCTGGGTGCCAGGGTCCTGTGTTTCCATGGAAAAGCCCCAGGTGCCGGACCCTGTTTTTCCTTGGAAAATCCCCAGGTGCGGGGCATGTGCTTTAGAAACTCTTCCAGGGTTCTAAGACCTGTCAGCCGACCCCAATAACAGTCAGTTAAGCAGCAGAAGATGGGGCTCAAATGAAGCCGGAAACACAGTCCTGTGAAGCCGTTCGCAGTCACGCTCGGCTGCTCCAGCTGCACCGAGGAACTCTCATATTTCAAAGCGTTAAAATAACTGAATTGCACAGCTTGACCTTCTGATTGGTCGATCATCCAGGGGTGGGGGGCACCCCTTGGATGTGAGCCTCTCATGGAGGGGTCGTGCTACATGTCCTGCTACAATTTTAGGTCTAGTCTAATCCTATTAAATTGTGAAACCCTGTACCTCCAGTTTGATGGTAACAATTTCCATTCACTGTTCAGGACATGGTTAGGGTCAGGGACATGGTTGTTGGCCAGCCTTATGTTACTAGGTAGACTGATTCAGAAGCTGCATCCAAAAGCACACACTATGCACTATGTAGGTAAATGAGGAAAAAGGACACGGTCATTTATTGTGATTCCTTACTGCATGAGTGCGCACATTTTCCACACACTTTCCAGGTGCACTAAGTCACCTTTCAGCTGCTGGACTTTGACCATTAATGACAGATGTCCTGCATAACAGGTACTGGTATCACTGACTGTTTACCAAATGCTCCAAGATGCCTTCCACTTATAGCACTTCACTTCTCAGTGCTGTTTAAACTGCAATGTAATGTTATTTTATGTCATGACAGTTTTTTACAACAAAAGTTTTGTGTCCTGCTTTATAATTTATAAAAAATAGCATAATTCAATGTTTATCATCCTTTTTTTTTATTTTTATAATCATGTCAGTTCAAATATATAAATATTATAGTTGCACTTAAAAGCACCATTACCATCACCCGCCATTTTTATAAGCTGACTTCTGACTTCCTCAGTCATGTCTATAATTAGGGGATTGAATATCGTCCAGTGTTTGCACACTTTGGATTTTGACGTATCATTCTGCCCGGGAACATTTTGCGTACCTAACTGATCTGCACTATGGTTTCAGACACATTATGTCCATTGTACTATTTTGACACTGTTTAGTATGGATGTGTGAGATTCCAGATGCAGTGCGAGTGTTTCTCAAGGGCATTTGGCCAACAATCTTTCTGCTGATTTTTATTTGGTGGAACAGTTTTGACCTTAACTTAATGGACAAGCCCTTATACCAGTGGTGGCCAATCTTATCCGCAAAGGGCCGGTGTGTGTGCAGGTTTTTGGGGTAACCTTTAGGTCAGCTGTTCAAACCCAGGTGTGAGGACTCTTCAGCCAATCAGTCCTCTAATTAGTAATCTAATTCAGGAGCTGCAGCGAAAACCCGCATACACACCGGCCCTTTGCGGATAAGATTGGCCACCCTGCCTTATACCATATGTAATATTACAGTACTGTAGAACACTCACAAATCACAAAAGTCAAAAATAACAAGAATTTGTCTTCTGGCCCCAAAAGACCTACGCCGTTGAAGAATAAGAAATTCTTTGCTTTGTTCTTTTGCAGGCAAATGCAATATGGCCCTTCCAGGGTAATGTGATCTGTCATTACATCCAAGTATTTCTGTGAAAATACCTGCTTGATTTTTTCCATTATGGATAACAATAGGAACTTCATGCGAGTCAGATGGTGAACCAGACAGTCTCTTATGTTTTCTTGGTGTTAATCTTAAGTGCATTATCAACACTCCACTCAGCTACTTTGTTCACACATGATGCTGAAGCCCAGGGTTGCCTGAGTTACTTAACAGAGAGAGTAGCACTGTATCATCAGATCATGTGATCATCAGATCATAATCATATGATCAAGCGATCAACTATCAGATTAGCTGGGCCAGAACACAATGTTTAAAGAAAAGTGCTAATGCTTTATTTAAAATATACTTCTTGATGTATTTTTAAGTTGCAGTTGTAATATACACTTTACAGAAAGTAGAGAATCTGTATTTAAGTGACAAAGTGGCATAGAAACAAATATATGCTGTCTCTGCCATATTTAGCTTGCTATCTGACTCTGTGTGCCAAGTCTCCTCGGCGCCCCCCAGAGGAGCTCCCGTCCAGCGGCAAGGTGTCACGTGTGGCGTGCTCCTGCTCCTGCTCCTGGTCATGGTCTGCTGCTCTGTCTGCCAGCTACCTTTGGGGGTGTGATGGCTGTCCTGTCCTTCATCCTGGTGTGTGACCCCCTCCCCCCACAGAGTGGCCTTTGCCAAGGAGTCGGAGGTGCTGACAGGGAACCTGGGGGACAAGCTGATTCCTCAGAGCGAGATCCTGCGGGACGTGAGTGACCTCAAAGCCCTCGCCAATCTGCAGGAGAGCATGGAGTGGCTGGCTGGGAGACTCAAGGGCTTCTTCTCCAGCCTGCTTTCCTCACACAGTGAGTACTATACTCTGTCTGGGCTGAGTACTCTGCTCCCAATGAAATCAAAGTCTGTGTTGAGTACCAAAGTAACAATGAATACTAAGTCTACACTGAGTAGTGTTCTAGTGAGTACTATGCCTGTGCTGAGTATTCTACTCTCAGTGATTACTGAGTCTGCATCGAGTACTCTCTTAGTGAAAATTATGTCTGCATTGAGTACCGAACTTACAGTGAGTATTGAATCTGTACTGTACATGTCTGTGAATACCACGTCTGTGCTGAGTATTCAACTTTCAGTGAGTACTGCGTCCATACTAAGAAGTGGATCTGTTCTGATGAGTACCACACTCCTTGAGTACTGGGTTAGTGCCAAATACCAAACAAAAAACTTCAGTTTACTTTTTATTGTTTTCCAATAAAATGACAAGACCAGTCTTACTGAGTATTGAGCGCACTGTGAATACGACAAAGCCCAACCTGAGCACTCGGGTCAGACAGAGTGCTCCACCCACTCCCACGTGTGACCTCATTCAGGTGCAGAAGTGTCGCGGCAGCAGCTTTGCATGCTGCCCGCAGGCCTCCCGTTCGGCGTGGGCACGGCTCAGCCCTCCGCCACCTCGGGGGAATGTTCATTCCGGCACCCTCCCCCAGCGGCGAGTGACCTTTCCAGCGGGATTTTTGGGAACGGCAGTTCCAGACGGCTCCGAGCAAAGATAAAAATTCAATAAGTGTGGAGTGGGGAGCGCTGCATAATCGCCATTTATTTCCCCGAGTGCCATTAATGGGGTGTTTTATCACGCCGGGGACAGCCTCCGCATTGTTCATTATTTAGTGTTTGCCGAGCTGATGGGGGCGCTCAAGACGGCGCCCCTTATCTCTGTCCCCCCCCCCCCAAATTGGATTTTATATTACAGCTCCAGTCAGGTATGAAGAAGTCATTTTCTCCCTCCTTGTCTTGCAGACAAACACTCGTCCCATCCAGTGTCGCAGCGGCGAGATTAAGAGCGCTTATTCCGGAGAGCGGCTCTCGGCACAGAACTTTCCGGAAGCTGACCCGCGTGTGCGCGGCCCGTACGGAGTCATTAAGCCCCGATTAAAGCGCTTTGCATGAGCCGCGGGCATGCATCACGCGGCGGGCTGTCTGCAGACTCGACAGAGGGGCATTATGGGATGTCATGAAAATGGAACCTTACAGAAGGAGCCGGTTTTCTGTGTCTGTCTGCTGTAAGATACAGGAAGTGAACAAATGCAAAACAAACAGGCGGAGCAAGAGTGAGGATTTGGGGAAGACCGCGCTCCGAAGGACCCAATGGCACGGGCATCCGCCTGCTGGCCGAGCACGTTTTCTGCAGCTGAGCTGAAAACATAATGATGGCGTTTAGACAGCGCTTTGTGCCGCCTGGCTGCCCTGCCAGATCTGCCGTCATCCTTTAAGCAAACACCACTGCAGATGAGGTCCTTATACTATGCGCTCGCCAGCCTGCCCAGTCTTATTGTCATTTTAATTCGCGGCGCAGTCTGTGTGTTTGCGTCTGTGATTAAACGCCACCCTCGTTGCGGTGCCTTTGAAGGCGTCCGGGTTCGGCACTTCATTCCCGCAGCAGCCGTGCGGCTCGCCGGTTTATCGCGTTTCATCCCTACAGATAATATTTACCCATACACATTACCCACAATCCTTTGCTACCCATGTCTGGCTTGTGCTTGTGTGTCTGTCTGTGGGAAAGCTGGTGTCCTCGGGCCTTGTTGGCCCCTGCTGCTCTGATGCAGCCTTAGCCTTCCTTTCTCAGGCCCCACATCCTCCCTTCCTGGCACTTTTTTAATTTTTTTTTTTATTTCCTGGACTGGCTCTATTTTAGACCGCCTCGTGTTTGCTTGGGGGGCCTGAAGTTTAACTTGAAGTTTTACCTTGACCTAAGTGATCAGAGCTTTGGTCTCTGGAGCGGCAAAGCCTGCATTAGCATAATCTGTGAGATGTACCCCTCCACCCTCTCTCAGAGCCCACAGCAAATCCTGAGCCAGAGAGATGGCCCTCGCGGCCGTGGGGCCGGGGGTCGAGGCTGGCCTGAGCCGCACTCCCCGCATGCTGCACACTGGCGGCATCGTTAAAGACAGCAGCGGGGGGGGGGCATGAATTATTCACACCTCAGGTGGACTGTCCGCTGTGGTGTGCGGGGGCCCTGTGGACAGACCATCTTACAGCCACAGCCGGCTGGGATCTTTCTGGAGAGATGCTTCCTTGTGTCTCTGTTTATGTGTCTGTGTCTGTGTGTCTCTGTTGCTGTATGGATTCCCATGTTTCCTCCCCGCCGTCTCCATGCTCATTGTCCTCAGGCCGGGTCGTGACACTCCCACCCCGGTTTTGCAGTTCTGATCGGATGTGCTGTTTGCGTCCTGAAGCAGAATATTGGGCTGGAGAAGAGCTATAAAGGAGGGTAACTGAATTAGCTTTATGCAAACATGCGCATGTGTGTTCAGCCACCCGCCTGCAGGGGGAGCAGCTGAGAGATGAATGGTGGAAAAGAAGATGAGGGGAGAGGAACATCAGGCGTGACATCGCCGCAGGGCCAGTTGACTCTCACCACCACTTCTGAGGTGGTGGCCCCCTGGTTATGTGACAGGGCAATGGCATCCGGGTGATGGTTGAGTGACAGCGATGCAGGATGCGTGACAGAGCAATTGTCATATGATGGGATGATGGCGGCTGTGTGACGGGGCGATGTTCATGTGACGGGGCAATGGGGGCCAGGTGAAGGGGGAATGGCAGTGTGAGGGGGCGATGGCCGTGTGACGGGATGATAGGGGCCATGTGACAGAACGATGGGGGCCATGTGATTGGGTGATGGAGGTCGTGTGACGGGGCGATGGGGGCCATATGACAGAACGATAGGGGCCGTGTGACGGGAGCTGTGTGACGGAACGATGGTGGCCGTGTGACGGTGCAATTGTCGGAAGATGGGGTGATGGCAAAACCTGATGGTATGATGGTCGTGTGACAGAGCAGTGACCGTGTGACCTGCTGCCCACAGATGTCCCTGCAGGCTCCGACACCCAGGTGAGCGGTGACAGTGCGTGCAGCAGGGAGCAGATCCTGCAGACTCTCACTGACCTGTCCAAGGCCTTCCAGGACATCGCCGACCGCTGCCTCCTGGTGCTGCACCTGGAGGTCAGGTAGGGAGCCCCCTGCCCAAAGTCTGCCCCCCACCCCCCT